AAAGAGATACTCCCATGGAAAAGAGAAAGCTTAATTAGAATATTAAGAGGAATGAGGAGGTCGGTTCCCGCCTCACCCTTATTAATGACAGCTGGGAAAGTGTTAGGATAATCAGGATAGAAACATTCTGTTTTACATATTGACAGCTCCTAACCACCTTATTAAAAGAATCTATTTGATAATACCTGGTGATGAGAACAAGGTGGGTGAATGTGCTAAATACAATGTAAACTCACAGACATATTCCCGAAAGAGAGATGGTACTGCAATCGGTATCACCAACGTGATTACAACATAAGCGAGATGTGCCATCCTTTGTAAAGAATAGAATTTCCCTTGTTTTGGGTCACGTATTAACCTGATGCTATTTGGCTTCCTGAAATTTTAATTTTTATTAAGAATTTGAGCTATCCAAGCACTAAGGTACTTAAATACATTGAAACATGTAAATATAAACAATGTTATTAGAGGGATATGGAGGTTCTTACAGGAAATCACCAAGCCTCATGGGAGACTGGGGAGCCAGAAAGCAAGGCTCCCTGCTCATTTCTCTGCCCTTTCATTTCTACACATCTGGTGCTCTAGGCAGATCTGTGTGTGTCCTTTATTCAGGGGCCAAGGATTGACTCCTTGGAGTATCCTAATTCCTAATTCTTAGGAGAGAAATCTGATTGGCTCAGCTTATCTATTTCTAATTCAGTCACTTGTGGTCAAGTGTGTCCTCAATCAGAAGGCTTTTCCAATAGCAAAGAGTTGGAAGAAATGCAAAGCATGCTAGGGTTCATTTCCCAATGATTTTTCCTGATATTTCTTGAAACACATGTTCTGGAAGAGGAATCAGAAAACTAGTAGAGCCCAGCCCACTGTTTGTATTTGTAAATAAAGTTTTATTGGAACCCAGTGCACTCATTCATTTCTGTGTTGTTTATGGCTATTGTCTTGGTACAGTCGTAGAGGTTATAGTTGTTAGAGACTTCCCCACAAAGCCTATAATGCTTACTGTTTGGCTCTTTACAGAAACATTTTACTGACTCCTGTTCTAGAATTCAATTAAGTTCTGTTTCTCAATCATTACTGTCTTGTGTGTGGGTTAATCTTGTTTTCTCCCAACCAGTATAAGGCAATTTCCTAAAGTTTGGTCATTTGTGTCCTACTACCAGGATGTTAAAGGTGCTATTTGGTTTTGGCTTCTCCTTTCCTTGTACCGAAGTTGTTGAGGATAGGGCACAGCACTGGGAATCTTCACATATCCCTGGTGGTTGATTAGAAAATAAAATAAAATCTGTATGAATGCAACATAATTTCCTAGGGTGTAGAGAACATAGTGTTGATGATTTGCAAGATGATTTCAGTTAGCACTTGAGATTTTTCTAGGTGGTAAATAGACATGATATTAAGTAAAATTAAATCACATCGTGGAAGGGTTATTCTCTATGTTTTCTTTTAGTTTCCTAATTACTTGAAAAAGAAAATCACATTTGATGACAATATGCTCACTAATATTTACTGATATCATTCCTTTCCTTTAACAAGGAGAAAATGCAGGCCCTGGCTCAGAACTTCAGCCATCAGCAGTATAAAGCTAGAATTTACTAGCACCACTCTGCTTTTGTTTAGTTTTATTCTTGTCTTCCATTTATGACTGATGCTACTGACTTGCCATTAGTGGTGGGGATATAGTTTCCATCTCAAACAAATTTAGTTAAATAAAAATGTGACCAGGTTTTTTTTTAAAAAAAATATTTTTAAGAGGTTTCTGATATTGGGCACATGTGCTCGCCAGAAAGACAGAGAGAGACAAAGAGACAGAAAGCGAGAAATCACCCCCCGGGGGGAGATGGTCATGCTACAATCCCTTCTCCTCCATTCTCTTCTTGGGATCTTGGGCACTCACGCACATGTGCCTGGTGTGAGTTTAAGTCACCGGGTCTGGGACTCAAACCGTGGTCGACTACATGGGAGTCCAGTGACATAGCCATTACATCAACTGCTGGTCCCCCGTGACCAGGTTTTTAAAAATGCTGAACAAATAACAACTTAAGTGGTAGGAAAAAATGCAGAACGGGTACATGAATGATCAAAGTTCAGAAAAGGCTGTGCTAAAGTAACTGACATAAACACACAGTAGTCCTGATACCCAAAGGAAGGAGTGGATGATATGTCTAAGTGGATAACGGAGGTTATCGAAGGAGGTACATCTAAACTGAATCATAAAGTTTTAGGCAGTAAAAGAGTTGTGGAAGGACCTCGCAGGCAGTGGGCATAGAATGTCCAAAAAGGAAAAAAAAAAAAGAACAAGGATGTGGTCATGGAGTTGTTTGGCTTTCTGGAGCCACCAAAGGACTTGAAACATTCAGGTAGTATGGTCAGATCTGCATTCTTAGAGCAATCGTTGGCTCAAGCAGGTTAATCTCTCTGACCCTCAGTTTGTTTACCTATAAAATGGGAATAATTGAAGCAGATGTAGGATGTGCACTCTTGTCCCTGGTACGGGGAAAATCTGAGCCATTCTGTCCTATTTCTCTTCCATACTGAAAGCTAAGATGTCCTATCATGACTTGCATCCATATTTAAGGGTTCAGGACCCCTCTTCTCTATTCTTGGTGGGGGACAACTGACAGTATTCAGAAATGTTGGCTGGTGCTTTGATCAGTGACTATGGTCTAGGGAGGGTGTCCACACTCAAGGACAGCTCAGCACTGAGCCCATTGCCCTGGACCCTGGAATCTTCTCAACCAAAACCTCTTCTTCCTCCTTTCTTTAGTCCCTCACTTTTCTTTGACCTAGTCACCTCCCTGCACATGGCTCAGTCCCAGCTTCCTCTAGAATTTGAAAACCCCATCGCCATCTTGCCTAAAATAGATTGAGTTGTTTCTGCCTTGGTAAGGGCTAGCGAAGGAAATAGAGCCCCCTAGGTACCAGGAAGAGAACATACAGAAGTGGGAAGACACACATTCTAGCACTCTGAGTTAGCTCTATCTTGCTATGTAACTTGGTGGGTCTATTTTAATGACTGATTAAGTGCCCAGCAGGTAGGACCCAGATTGGCAGCTCTTAGTTTTCATTGTGGTACTGGGGAGAAAAAGTTAAGAAAAGTCCTATCACTGTGGGAATATGTGTCAGGAGTCTCCTCCTTTCAAAATTGCTTAAGTCCCTGGGTCTGCACTGCCTGTGGCCATTCCTGGCTGTGATGAGATAGAAGGTGGTAGGATTAGGAATGCCATGTGTGACTAGCTCAGTCTGGATACTTCTGTGTGTACATGCATGAATTATTGTAGAAGCATCTGTGCCTGAGTCTGGTCAGACTCACCTGGAGGCTAAGAGGTGAAGTGTGCTGAGCTGCCCTCCTGCCTCTAAACATTCTGTGTGTCAGCCCCTCTGGCTCCAGCTCCCTATTGTATTCTCTGTTCCTCCAGCAGAAGCAGGTGTGAGTAGGTGTGTGGTTTTCCCAACCATCTAAATTCTTACAGGCTTCTTCTGGAGAGCCAAAGGAGAACATTTGAAGGGAGAAACTTTGGAGTCCGGTAGACCTTAATTCCAATCCTGGGTCCTGGCCTTAAATGGATTTGTGGTGTAACAGTTTACTTACCCTTCTGAGCCTTGGTTTTGTATAAAAGGGGATTCGTAATGATAGCTGCTTCCTAGGGTATTATGCAAAGTACATGAGAAACCAGTTATTTCTAAGTACTCAAAACTATAATAGTGATTCATATTATTACCTGCAAAATACCTGACACAGTACTCATATATCAGCATGATTATTTCTTCCTCCAGAAAGCCTTCCCAGAATCCCCCAGACCAGACTAGGCTCCTCTGTAATGTGGTCCTAACTGTACTTCTTTTCCTTTTTATTTTTTTTAACTTTTTAATTTTTAAAAAAATTTTAATTTACCTGTACTTCTTAAGAGACTTTTTGAACTTAGTACCTGTTGGTCATTGTTCTCTCTGGCCTAGTCACAACCATGAAAATAATGGTGTATTGAGCCACCCGGTTAGCTGGCCCTGACTATGACCACAGCTCAAGACAAGAGGAGAGGCTATTTAATAATTATGTTAATCATCTCTGTAATCAATTGTTTGCAGTCTTTCTTCCTCTCTTGAGTTCAAGGTCAGAGAATGTGTCTGTTTCTGCATTGCTGTATCTCCAGTGCTTAGAGACACTTAATAAACATTAAATAATTGACTGAATAATGGAACAGGTACCCCAAACCCAGTACCTTGAGTTATACCAGGGAACAAAACAGGCAAAGATACTTATCCTTGTAGGGTTATTATTCTAGCAATCTGTACTGGGCATTGGTACCTACCCCAAAGGATTATATCCTTGGTCATCTCTCCTAGGTCATCCTCTGTTGATTGGGTTTGGCCATCAGAATGTCAACTGTTGGACATGATTTATTATTTCCAAGTGCACGGAGGGCATCCATGCAAAGCTGGAATTAGGTTTGAAGGAGCACCAGTTACCCTTAGCTTTCTCTGATATATTTGCTCTTCCCTAGGTCATGCTCTCAGAGCGAAAAGGCACAGATGAGCTCTATGCTGTGAAGATCCTGAAGAAGGATGTTGTGATCCAGGATGATGACGTGGAGTGCACCATGGTGGAGAAGCGAGTGCTGGCCCTGCCAGGGAAACCGCCATTCCTGACCCAGCTCCATTCCTGCTTCCAGACCATGGTAACTTGTTGGGTGGCGCCATGGTAACTTGTTGGGTGGCCCTCAGTATTCTACCTCCAGGGTTTGGCCAAAGCTGTTCCAACAGCACCCACCCCAAAGAGATAGAGCCTTCCTATTCTAGACACAGAGATGCTAGGCCTAGAGAATTTCAATGAGAATTCCTGAGGTTGCCGCTGGTACTATTTCAACTCAGAGAGAGGAGGAACTCAGGCAATTGTTTTTGTCTTGTTTTTGTTTTTGTTTTGTTTTTGGAGAGTTTTTTGCTATAGGGACACGCGTGTGCACTCGCCAGACAGACAGAGAGAGACAGAGAGACAGAAAGCAAGAAATCACCCCCCCAGGGAGGATGGCCACGCCGCAGTCCCTTCTCCTCCATTCTCCTCTCGGGATCTTGGACACACATGCACACGCACCCAGCGTGAGTTTAAGCCACCGGGTCCAAGACTCGAACTGCGGTCGACTACGTGGGAGTCCAGCGACATAGCCATTACACTAACTGCTGGTCCATGGCAATTGGTTTTAAAACCAACAGAGTAGGGTCTTTTTCTGATAGCAAGATTGATTTGGGGATAGGAACTCATTTCACTGGGATAGTTACAATCAGCCCTCCACCCTTTGGACAAATGCACGAGTGTGTGCATCTCTGCAGATAGCCTGAGTGAGGCCTTTGTGGGACCCTCCTTGGAGTGGAGGGTGGAGATTGCCTGAGAACACAGCTCTCCAAGGATTCCAGGAGCAGGGTGTGGTGTCCCAGTGAACTTAGTGTCATGACTGCCAAGATGACAAAGGAACGTGGCTCACTATCTGCTATTGACTGTGGTTTCAACTCTATCTATGAGGGCAGAGGCCTCTCTTTAAGTAATGTTTTATCTTTTCCCTGTTTAAATTAGACCTTGACTACCATACTTGAGGAAGGACAGGCCAGAGCCCAGTTGCAAAAGGGGTACAAAGTTAATTCTTGCCTGCGGGGCTTCTTTTTTTCTTTTCTTTTTTTCTTTTATTAAACTTTATTTATTTATTCACCTTCACATTTTTGACCAGAGAGGTCCAGAGCGAGAGAGAGAGAGAGAGAAAGTGAGAAAGCAAGCCACCAGGTCCAAGACTCGAACCACAGTTGGCCTTGCGAGAGCCCAACACCCCCAACCACCACACCACCCGCCACCCGCCAGCCCCAACACATAAAATTAACCATCACAAGGACCAGCAGTGGGCGCAATGGCCATGTCACTGGACTCCCACATAGTCCTGGACCCAGTGGTTTCTAAGAGTGAATGGCCTAGTAATTTAAAGATGCTTTAAGGGCTTTTTCAGGTTTTTTTAAGTTTGACTTTATACAGTTCTTAACCTATATTGCTGATTTAAGAGCACAACCCCATGTGAGATGGAATGTTGTTAAATTTTGCATTTCATTTGATGTGTCTTTTAAGTCTTTAATCTAGTGATGTCCCCCTCCCTCCTTTCCATGCTTTTCATCTGCTGAAGATCCTGGCCTGTTTGTCCCGTGGTGTTTTTGCAGTCTGTTTTTTTGTTGTTGTTGTTAGTCTGATTTTAGAGGTTTTTGCTATAGGGTGTATGTGCTTGCTAGGAAGACAGAGAGAGACACAGAGACAGAAATTGAGAAATCACCCCCCAGGGGGGCTGGTCACTCTGTAATCCCTTCTCTTCCATTCTCCTCTCCGGATCTTGGGCACGCACACACACGCACCTGGTGTGAGTTTAAGCCACTGGGTCTGGGACTCTAACCACATCGACTCTGTGGGAGTCCAGCGACATAGCCATTACTCCATCTGCTGGTCCCAAGTTTGTTTTTTTTTTTTTTTTTTCCAAGGGAGAGATTTTTGCTTGTGATCACTGAAGAGACAGAGAGCAAGACACCACCCCCCCCCAACCCTGCCCCAGGGGAGATGGCCACACTGCAATCCCTTCTTCTCCATTCTCCTCTTGAGATTTTGGACACACACACATATGTGCCTGGCATGAGTTTTAAGCCAGCAGGTCTGGGACTCAAACCATGGTTGACTATGTGGAAGTCCAGCAATGTAACCATTACACCATTTGCAGGTCCCTGCAGTCTGGGTTTTGCAACTGCACAGTCTTGGACACTCAACATACTTCCTCTGTTCTCTGTATTTCCTGTAAATTGACAGCTGGATCCACAGGCTTGGTCAGATTCAGCTTTAGTCCCATTGTCAAGAGTGTAGATGGTGGTGTGTTCTTTCATCCAAAGGCACATAATATCCAGTTGATTCTCCTAGTGACGTTGGCAGCACCTGAGTTTCAGTACCTAGATCCATTCATTCATCAGGGATTGCGAGATGGTGATTTCCTAATCTAGCCTTTCTTTTTCATTTATTAGTTGGAATGCTTTTATAAAGAGGAGTGTCCTCTCATCTGTTGCTTAGTTTCTTGGTGGTTCAGTTCATGTAGGAAAGGCAAGATAAGTGTTTGATTATTTTCTTTCATTTAGCAACTTTCAAGGTAATGAATTGGTTTGCTATTGTACTCCAAAAGTGACTGAAGTTTGCTTTCCAAATAAAACTTGGGAGTAAAAGAAAAGAGTCAATATAGAGAAAAATATTAAGTGAATGATAATTTCCATGATGTGGGGATGTGGTGGAGACCGGGAAGGGGGGTGCATCTTACTAGTTTAAATGTCCAGTCATACCTTGGGGAACTAAGGCCTTTAGGTGTCCAAGTGGTGGCAGGAACAGAATTAGGATTTAAATCTCTGGGCTCTCCCATTCTCTTGCCTTTCCCTGTTCCACTGGTGGTCTCCAAATTGAGTCATTGAGATCACCAAAGGAAGAATAGTCTCAGTCTGGTAAGTAACTAAGAAAACCTTATTCTCACAGGAGAGGCTGTACTAACTTGGAAGAGTGGTTTTTCATTTCTACTGGGTATGTTAAGATTAAGAGAAATGAGTCATTTGTGACTAATGTTCATTAAAGTATAGTACCTTTGTAAGTTAAAAATCATAGAGTAGTTTTGAGGTTACTTTTAATATTGAGCCACGTCACTCCTCTGTATTTCAATTCACTCTCTGGAATTATAGAGGAAGGACTGCATTTACATATACAGAGCTCCGGTTCCCTCAAGGAGCTGTCATATGCCAGGAAAGAGAGATTAAGGGCTACAAGAGGCCCAACTGCAGTGGTCAATGGTGCTAAGACTCTGTTCTGCAGGCTGGGGGCCACATGGGAGTCCTAGATTCGATCTCCAGTTGAGTTAAAGGCTGATCTTGATGGTGTGCACCTGTAATCCCAGCAACTCCAGAACTGAGGCAGGAGGATCACAAGCTTGAGGCTAACCTGAGCTTAAAAAAAAAAAAAAAAAAAAAAAAAAGAGCTGGGTAGTAGAGTATGTCTGTAGTCTCAGCTGGAGAATGAGGTAGGAGGATTACAACATAGTGAGACCTGTCAAAATAATAATAATAATAAAGGAAAAAAGAGAGAAGGCCATGAGAGCCAAGAATGTGTGAGCCCAGTGGATTTGTGTTTTGTGTGGGGATGAAGGAGACCAGGGCTCAGCCCTCCAATCCAGCAAGGCCAGGCATGGAATAGATTACTTCCTCGTTGGCTGAGGATCAGATGACATAGTTATACCGTCTATAGGTGTTGAATTGTTGAGGAAAAAAAAAAATACTTGAAGAGATGCACTCGCTGCAAGTAAGAGGTTTTTTGGGGCCAAGTGAGGCCAGCTGAGGGAAGAGCAGATACCCTTTCCATCTCACCTGCACTCGGCACATATGCTCATTGAGTGAAATGCCCCAATTTAAATTAGTTTTTTCTCACCCTTTTTTTTTTCCTGGCTAAGCACATATATTTTAATTTTGCATAAATTACTTTTATTTTCAAAGACTTATAATAATGCCTACTATATGTGAGGCACAGGGCTATCCATTTTAAGCCACATGACAACGCCTAACGTCATCTCCATTTCATAGGCAATGGGACTGAGGCCACACAGCTAGTACATTTCAGAACCAGGTTTGAGCCCAGTCTAGTTCCAAGGGGATTTGTACTGTGCTGCTATACTGTGAGGTCTTTTGAGTGTGAATCACCCAATTGCCATTCCACCTGACAGCCCTGGGGTGGAATCCTCACCAGGAGCCTGAGCTCTGCCTAGCTTTGCTCATCTCTCACCTGCTCAGAAAGCCACATCATGCCTCCATCCCTCGGCTTCCCCATTCTAGAACAGAGCTGACTTTCCATTGGGGCATCTCCCATGCATCGGTCTTCAAAAAGATTGTTTCAGGAACCAGCAGTTAGCGTAATGGCTATGTCGCTGGACTCCCACGTAGTCGATCGTGGTTCACGTCCTGGACCAAGTGGCTTAAAACTCACGCCGGGTGTGTGTGCGTGCGTGCCCAAGATCCCGAGAGGAGAATGGAGGAGAAGGGATTGCGGCGTGACCATCCCCCCTGGGGGGTGATTTCTCGCTTTCTGTCTCTATGTCTCTCTCTGTCTGTCTGGCGAGCGCACGCGCCCTATAGCAAAAATCTCTCAAAAAAAAAAAAAAAGATCGTTTCATTCTAGCCACACAAAAATCTCACAGTGGCAGAGATTATCTATCATCTCATTATGTAGGTGAAAGGATTATGGATCAGGGATGCATGGTAGTTCTCTCAAGACACAGCACTAGTCATTGGCCCATGGAGCTCAGAGCCCAAGCATTGTCCACCATGATGCGTCACCACCGAGAGGGCCCAAGCAATGATAATGATACAAACAAGAACGAAAAAGCAGCAGCCAACAGTAATGACCACTTTAGCATGTGTGGGGTGCTACCATAGGCTCTCTCGCTGTATCAACTCATTTTATCCTCTCATTGCCTCTATTAGATAGGACTTATTACTAGCTTCAATTTACAGATCAGAATGCTGACATGCAGAGAAGTTAAGTAACTCATGCCACATCACACAGTTGGTGAGTAGTGGAGCTGGGATTTATTCTGCAAAACGCTCCAGAACTCCAAACCTGGAAACTGTTGCTATCCTAATG